CGGAGGGGGTGGGGGGATCATGCGATTGCAGATTGCAGGCAAAGCGGTTGGCAAACAACAGGGGCGGAGATGGTTTATGTGGCTCCCCTTTTTCTGGAGTAAAGGCCCTTGCAAAAATTGTAATTTGCGTTGCTCACACACGTTCCAACGGCTCCATCGAAGTTTCCTGGTTGAAAAAGGAGGCGAACCCATCGAGTCATGCAGGAAATTAGGGCTAAAAGCAAGTGCAAATGGGTTGGCGCTCAGAAAAAAAGCATTGTTTCAGACTTAAAAGCTACCAACTTTGAAACATTTTATAGTATACTTCTGAAGAATATTCAGATGTTTGAAAAATAAAAAAGGCTCACAAAAGGATCATAATTTGTACTTGTACTCATTTTCAGACAACTCTAGATCTACAACAAATAATAAAACAAAAGATATATCTGCCTTTATTATCTATGAATATTATAACCAATATCTACTTATAAATGTTTCAACTAATTTGAAATTAGTTTTTGATGGTCTAAAAAATTTTTATTTAAGACCAAGTATATTCTTCAATATATAAGGTTTTTAAGTTTGTTAATTAATCTTAATGGTTTACAATAATAGCCAATTGATTTTTTTACTTAAAAAATATTAAATAGGTCATTTTTTGAAAATAAGTTTTTAAAATTTGTATGTATGTATTGGTTACTTTGTTACTTTTTTTGTATTCTTAAAACGAATGCCGGGGGTGTTAGTCATCGGGTTATGAGTCACACAGTTGCATTTGCAAATTTAATGCCGACATCCAAGCTGAGCTGTAAGTTCAAATCAGGACCTTAATAACCGCTGTCACAACGAACAGGATGACCAGTCACTCACTTTACCGGGCAATGAGCCATTAAATTCCCACTTGGCGAGTGCGGTGGATTGGATTTCAATGGCTGCCCGCGGCGTGAATCTGTTAATTCAACTTATTAATTTTCATTGAATTTCTGCCGTTCGCCACTGTCACTGCCAATGTCAATTGTCATTGAGTGCGGGCACACAACCTCAGGGCAGACATCGACATTATGGCACATTCAATGGGTTGTGGTTAGTGTAATCAAGTCTGTTCAAATTATTTTGCTCAGCACAAATAGTGCCTTAATTTGCATGCATTTCGTATGCCGATTTCCAATCAATATGCCAAAGCTTATTGCCCAGTTGTTTGGCAAGTGCATATAGATATTTTCCAACTCAAGTCTTTGATTTATTTTAATTTAAGCCCAGTCGTCTGAGCTCCTGAGTATCGAAAACCAAATTGATCAATATTTTTATTGTATCAAGAGTATGTGCAATAAATTTGAAATAATTTGCCTGCTATTTCGAGAGCGTAGGCCGCAAACGCACACATGGGACCCTCATAAAAACCAATTTATGAAGCACACTTCTCCGGGCAATCGCCCGCCCACACCCAACTGGCTTACACACATCGAAAGCCCTGGGGTTTAATTGAATGCGAAGGCAACTGCATAAGCAGCGTCACCAGCAGGCCACAAATCAAATAAGTTGGGCGAAAACGGGTCAAGTGCTCCGCCTGAACTTCAAGCTGTTAACTGGAAGCAAGATGCTCCTGGACAAAGGGAAAGCTCTTAGTTGGCCAGGACCAACACGCTCCTTTGACTCGTGACATGTGTGTGTACTACGTACGTGTATGTAGTCAAACCAACACACACACACACACACACACACTCCTTCTTTGCTTACGCTCAGTTGAGTGCACATAATCTGGCTTTGAGGTTGGATGCTAGGAATCCAGGAAACTCGGCGAAAATGCTTTCAATTCACCACCCACTTGCCACTTGACGAGTCTCTCGGGCGGCGGCTAATTTCTGCTGCGACGACACAAATTGTAACTAATTTTACGTACTCAACTTTCTGCTTTCATTCCAATGCAAATTGCCGGACAACCTGGGCAAACTTAAAGCCCCAAAAGTTACGTTATAAAACGCTGCACGGGCTTGTTCGAAAGTTGACAAGCGATTCTCTGCAACTATGTCGAATGCAGACTTCAGCGAAATGCGGAAGTTTGACAAGCAATGTGGCAGGCAAAAGTTTCTAAGCGGAAAATGGTGTCTAACGTGCACAAAGGAAAATATCTTATACTTAAGAAATGGTAATATTATCACATTCAAGAGTTTTTAGAATTAAAAAGAGAAAATAGTTTCTTTTTGATTCCATTTTCCATATTCCTAAAGACAATACAAATATCTTCTTAGCTTATTTTAATCGAAAGACTATTTGGTGATATGAAGATAAATCTTTAGAAGTTAAAGTTGTTTTAATAATTTGTAAATAAAATAATGTCTTAAAATTATGATTATATATGAAGTTTCGAGTCCTAGGCCGTCGTTGCAAAAGAAAAAAATATTGTACAAATCAATCAATCCTTTAAGCTGTTCCAGAACTTAAGCTATATTAGATGCTTTTGTTAGTTTATTTTTGTTTGCCCCAAAATTGTGAAATGGTGCTCGCATTTTTGGCCTCGTAGAGATGAGTCAGCTTTCTGAAGAGCTTCTCCTGCTTGGCCTCATCCTTGCGGACCCGTACCTCCAGGTTGTGATTCCTGAGGTTCCTCAGACGTTTCGAGATCAGGGCCGTCCTCTTCCGCACATGCTCGTCCATATCGCGAGTGATGCGATCCCGGGCATCCAGCCAACTTTGCGTGGCTTGCCGGTGGTGGCGGTCCGTGATCAGCGCCACTCGCGCCAAACGAACGGACAGCTGCTCCACCTTTTGCTCACCCAGCCAACTGCGACGCTCCTCTGCCGCTTCCATCCGCTGCTGCTGGGGGCGTGGCAGCGGATACTTGCGTTGCAGACCGCTGGGTGGATCATCCCGCAAAGCATCCTCGAAGTGCACGTAGAAGGCCGAGGGTTTGGACCCAGGCAAATTCTTTGGATTGTTCATAATTTGGAAAAAAAATATGTCGGTAAATTTGTTGGTAGGGCCCAAATGTTGATGCACAATGTACACTGCTCAAATAGCCTACTCAGTTGTTATTTTAGAGTTAAAATTAAGGTTCAGAAACGAAGTCTAGACAAAAACAAGAAATTAAATCAATTCACAACTTGTTGTATAACTAAAGCAAAAAAAATAATAAAGTGCCAAAGAAATCCTTAGGGTTTTGAAATTACTAACAAACAGTAAGCAATAAAAAATATAACTTCGAAATTTTTCGAAAATGCAAACACCCTTTTTAAGCAATGTTAAAGCTTTAACAATTTCTGCGGCAACTCCAACAAATTGAATTTTTTTTACCGAAACCCTTTACATTCAAAGGTATTGAGTAGGAAAAACATGGAAATTTTAATTACCTCTCTTTTGAAATAAACCTGCAAGCAATTTATAAAATCACAAAAGCTGGCGGCAGTAGATTCTCGTCCAAAAAGTGCAAAAATATGAAAGCAGACAATTTAAAAAGCATGTTAGCAGTATATTTAGTGTTCCCCTTGGACCCCTGTGGGCCGGACGGGGTTAAGGGGACCCCATCTATCTGCGACCTGTCTGTGTGCAACATAAATACCCATTCAGTCCGCCAGCAACAGCGCAACTTCACCCAACTTCATCTGTGTTCGTGGCACGGATGTAACGCAAAAGTTGCTTGTTATTATTATGATTAAAGTTGGTGCTCCTGGTGTGGTGTGGCCCACACCACATTAGTGTGGCTGCCACGCCCTCAGCCGACACGCCCCCAGCCGGCCCTGTTTGACCCTCTGGCTTTGCTGCTTTAGTATAAATGTTTGTGGTTTCGTCGTCAAGGTGCTTTGGAGTCGGCTTTAAGTGCGGGATAGGTCGCTTTTGTTGGAATAAGCCCGGCGTATACGTAAACATATGTGCATAGGTGCTCTATCGTTCAACCCCAAGCATCCATTCGGATCATGGGTTTTTGGGGGAGATTGCTAAAAAAACATGAAGCCAAAACATGACCGCATCGTGTTTCCCTGGTCATCCATTGTTGTAGTTGGCCTTAAAGCGGATTAAACTTAAAGTATTTGCGTGGAATGGTCGGAACTGTGGGGTGTCAGCCGGCCAATTGAAAGGGGTACATTTTGGGTGAGAAAATGAAAAAGATGGTATGAATACTAGTAGAGCTTAATGAACACATTCAGACAAGTTTTTTTAGGTGCAGGAGACGTAGAATTAAAAACATACAAGAGAGAAAAAGCTGTGAAAGGCTTCTGATTTGTCTGGATTTAAAACAAGATAATGCCTTTTCCCTTAAATTAAAAATAGATTTGGATCAAGATAATATCATTAACTGTATTTTCAAAAAGTAAATTCCTGACTACTCAAATGACAATACATGCTTATACATATGTATATGTATGTATGTGTGGATAAAGGCCAAAGGACAACAATATATTTGATAGCATACTTTTGGGCGTATTTATTATTAGTTTCAAACCTCAAGAGATTTCGTTGGCAAATAATATTTATTTTCTCTCTGAACGCAAGTACGTTCGCTATGATTTCAAAACTATTTCCCCAACTGTAATTAGTTATTTGTTGGTCAAACATAAAAGTGCATGTCATATCACCTTTGGTTTCCAACCAGTTAAAGCTACGAGTACCTCGTGGGGTGGTTTTTCCGCCCCGTGTCACATGCTTCAAGCCCAGTTAACAGCTGTCACTCCGCTCCCATGGAGAATCCGCCCTGAGTGGCGAGCTTGAGCTGAAATTTAACTTTCACCTTTGGAACAACTGCGGTAGTGACAACTGCAGCGGGAGAACTGCGAACAGCAAACTGCGATCTGAGCGTCGACATGCAACGGCTTCAAACAAACAAAAAAAAAACAAGTCCAAATGGAGGTTTATGGCTGGCGTTGGCCTACATGCAAACTGCTAAGCCCGTTGGGGATTTCCGACCCAAAGCTCTTCGTTTTTATGGCCGTTTTGTGGAGAGTACCAAATTAGTTGAACTGCGGCAAAAAATCGTTGCATATCCAAAAGGCGCTGACTGAAACTTTCCCATTTTTGTTTACTTACAGGTCAACACGAAATTGAATGGGAGATTGAAGGAAGTCAAGGGGTCACCCAGCTTAGCGTACGTATTGACCCAAAACCCGCGTTTCTAGCACTCAGCACAGAGAAAACTAGCACCAAGGTTAGGCGAATTTTCTCCTGAATTTAAAGGTTTTACTGAAATTCCTTGCTCAAATATGACAAAAATCAACATAGTCAAAAAGGTTTATTGAAATGAATACACTCTATTTGTTTTTTTGTCCTGAAAAGCTTATATGTCTTATGCCGAAGATTTGTAGAAAGTTCTGCTGATTTCAAAATTGTTTAAATTAAGATTTGGTGGTCTGAATAAGTATTGGGTTGCCGTTGAATTTAATAGACTTTTGATAGATAGTCATTTATTTAAAATCATTAATTAACAAGTTCAAAAGTTATATGAATTGCCTATTTTTTGTAAGATAAAAATAAACATGTTTCCAGAAAGTAAAAGTTTATACTTGTAAAATGACTCAGTTTGTGGGCAATGAACTGATATTGTTATATTTTTTTTTCTCTGTGTAGTGCATGGTCAGAATGTTTGAGCGTCGATTAGTTCAGAGAGGTGGCAGTTGAGGCGCCCAGAAGAGAGCTCGAGTACCGAGAACTTACCGCCCACTCGCAGGCCCCGTCTTCCGGTGGTTGGGTGTGTGTGAGCCACAGTGGTGCGTCAGTGTGTGTGTGTGAGTGAGTGGTGCCTGCGTCGGTGGTGGTTAGCATGCAAATCAACGGTCAAGCTGCCGGACCCACGATGGCAGCCTCCGAGCCACCAGAGCCGCCGCCGCGCAATCCGGACCGCATAAACGCCTCGCTGCACAAGCTGGGCGAATCCGTAAGTACCATCCCGTTAGCACTCCGCCATCCCCGACACCAGATACCAGATACCAGATACTCGTTCTCTTTCGAACCCCACCCGCACAACCAAAAACGAAATTCACTCAATGTGTAACCCAATTGGGCGTCATTCATTGCTTGGAAATAGACTGCATGCCCCATCTCACCACCCACTCCCCTCTTTTTTGGCGCACCACTTCATCTTGCTCTCCTGCTCTTGAACAAAAACAAACTGAAATCTCGAACAAATTACCCATTCTGCATCCCTTATTAACTAATTGACATATTTGGGCTCTACATATCGCTCCTTGGCTATCTTCCCCTTGCTATTTGACTCTTGCTATTTTCAGTCTTTTGGCTGTTTGTGCATCTCGATTTTTAGACTTGCAAAATCACAACTTATAAATCAATAAAGATTAGTTTAATAAAAACTATTAAAGCGGTTTAACACTTCTAACAAAAATGAGGGTTGCAAATACGATATGCAATTCACACAACTTTATGGTGATATTTTTTTACTCAAAATAAGTACATATATTTATTTTTTCAAAAATCGATATAAGCCTTGAAATAAATTTAAAAATTATAGCTTAAGCTTTTGAATTGTTATCACAACTTTAAACTTACGTTTCTAACTTAAAATTCAACAAAAACTAATTTTGCTTTTTAAAAACGGTTTTTATTTGCGAAAAGTGCTTATCCAATTAAATCTTCTTTGATTGCTGAGTTTAAACAGTTCAAATTAAAATGGTTTTGAGCCAATGGCCCAATTGTATTATATTTATAAATTGTATTAAAGCGCTTTGCAAATCGGGCTTTGCATACACATTCAACATATTTATTTTCTCTTAGCTTAACTTTTCTCTGTTAGCTGCTAGACTTGCTGCTTATACCTTGGATAACTTAAAAACCGTTTCAATGCAATTACAATTTTGCAGAAAATCGTCAAGTCGCTGGACAGTTCGGTGACGACAGCGCTGAAGGAGAAAGCCGCTTCCGTGAACAATAACAAGCCCATAAGACCGCTGCTATCACTGGACAGCTCGGTGTCGGCTTCCACATCCTCGGGGGCAGCAGGAGCAACGGGATCGGGGGGCGGAGGAGCACCTGCGAAGCCATCGCCCTTGGTCTTGGCCTCCAAACGAGACCTCACGCCCAGCAACGACAGCAGCTCATCGCCCTCCAGTTCGAATGGCAGCAACCAGACCCTCACCCCACCCATGACCGCTGATAATCAGCCGCTCCAGCAGCCGTCACAGCACCACCAGCACCGGAGTTCCGCGTATCCGGGCAAAGGAGAAGTGTCAGCGGTGGCAGGAGTGCCTGTGGCCCAGCAGCAACAGCAGCAGCAGCAGCAACTGCCGAATGGCATCGGCAGCAACAGCAACAGCAACAGCCACTGCAACAGCAACACCAGCGGCAGCAGCAGCACTTGCAATTCCGGCACGGCCATGATCCATGCGAATAACTCGAATTTAATTGCCGCCGGTCACATGGCCCAGCCGGCTGGCCCCGCCCACAACGCCCCCTCCAGCGGCAGTGCACTCAATGCTGGTAAGTGTGCGGGGGCATCTGTTTGCGGAGGGGAAAGGTGTACACGGGGGAAAAACACCACTTAAAACCAATAGGTAGTGTGTATGATTGGTATTTCTCTGAGAAATATCTATTTACTTAATTTTAAAGTGGTTATTTCCAAGATTAATCTAAAAAATGTTGAAGTTGACATGGTTTTATTTTAAATAGTTCTGACTTTAAATATTTTCGGTAAATTTGCATAAGAGTTTTTGCCTTTTATACAAACTAAAATTAAAATAGTTTTAATTAAATATCCTCAAATCGATATTATTAAATTAACATCATACAATAATGATTTATGGCCATGAATGATCATTAAAACCTTTTTTAAATTAAAGGAATAATCAGTGATCTGTTAAATTTTTCTTAAATTAAAAATACAATTTTTATCAGAGCGTCAATTATTGAATGGTTTAACCAAAAGACTTGATTTTAAATTTATTGCTTAAGTAATTGTTTAATATACACTATAGGAAACATTTCTAAATTGTTTTTTTTTTTTAACTTTTAAATTATGATCAGAAGTTTACATGAAATAGATTAAGATTCCCGATTTTGCATAGTGCTTTTTCCCCAGTGTATGTAAATGCATTAGTAATGGGTAAACGCCACGGGGGAAGGGGATGGGAGCAATCAGCAGATTGCTGCGGGCAAAGAATGGAGTTGCAAGAGGAGAATGGGACAAGGGGCAGGATCTTTGCGGCATGAATGAGCAAATGCTGGCCACAGTGGAAATGACAAATGGGAGCTGCCCAGAGTGGAATAAAATCAGCGTCCCTGATTGAATCCTTTCAACCTGTACGCTGATTTAATTCCATCTCACAGCTGCGTAAAATATTGAAAGGCATTCGTGTTGTTTAATTTTTATACCCTTGCAGAGGGTATTATAATTTCAGTCAGAAGTTTGCAACGCAGTGAAGGAGACGTTATCGACCCTATAAAGTATATATATTCTTGATCAGCATCACTAGTAGAGTCGATCTAGCCATGTCCGTCTGTCCGTCCGTCTGTCCGTCTGTCAGTCTGTCCGTCTGTCCGTCTGTCCGTCCGTTTATATGCAAACTAGACTCTCAGTTTTAAAGCTATCTGCATGAAACTTTCCCAAAAGTTGTCTTTCTATTGCAGGTAGTATATAAGTCGGAACGAGCCGGATCGGACGACTATAGCATATAGCTCCCATAGGAACAATCGGAAAAATAATTGAAAAAAAATTATAACTTTGCTGTTTTTTAATTTTTTGTTTTGTTCTTCGACATAGAGCAATGGTTAAATATTTCAGAGTTATGGTTAAAATTTCATCAAAATCGGACGACTATAGCATATAGCTCCCATAGGAACAATCGGAAAAATAATTGAAAAAAATTGTAACTTTGCTGTTTTTTAATTTTTTGTTTAGTTCTTCGACATACTGCAATGGTTAAATATTTCAGAATTATGGTTAAAATTTCATCAAAATCGGACGACTATAGCATATAGCTCCCATAGAAACAATCGGAAAAATAATTGAAAAAAAATTATAACTTTGCTGTTTTTTAATTTTTTTTTTTAGTTCTTCGACATACAGCAATGGTTAAATATTTCAGAATTATGGTTTAAATTTCATCAAAATAGGACGACTATATCATATAGCTCCCATACAAATAATAAAAATATATAAAAGAACAATCAAATAATTAAGCTGCACATCGTCATAGCTTCAATGTTTTTAAACATATTCGCAAGTAAATCATAATTTTAATGTTTTCAAAAATATTTAATTCTTGCGATAGCTGCAAGGGTATATGAACTTCGGCTTGCCGAAGTTTGCCTTCTTTCTTGTTTTAATTGTTAAAGTACTTGAACGCACATAAAGGGATGAAAATAAAGAAAATTTAAAGTTGACCGCTGGTCCGAGATTACCAGTTTCCAGGGGCAACCAGATGATAAGGCCACAAGCTTAAGAGGGACAAAACAACTGGCAGCTTCCCGAAAAACACGCAGGTTAAGGATGAGGTGGTGGCTTACGTTTTTGCTCGGATGCGAGCAGAGTGCCTTTTTGCTGGTGGCCCCCTTTTGATGGGTGGGGCAACGCATCGGATTATATCAGAATGGCAGAGTGGTGTACACTTCAGAAGTCTGACAAACGGATGGTAATGGCCTCCGTCCGTCCGTCGGAACTACAAGCACTATCTCCATCTCCATATCCACCGATCCAGGACCTCCTCCGACCCATCGCTTTGAGTGCTGCAGTTTGAAAGCCAACCAAGCAGATAGGCGGGGTCGATCCTGGAAAGGTGAAAAAGTCGGTGGGAGCCAAAGTGGTTGTGGTCGAGTTGGACTGAAAAACGTAAACGTTGAAAATTAAATAGAGAGCGAATAGACTCTTCAATTCTAGCAGTTAAATTAAATTAAACTTTTCAATTTGTTTGTTTTTATTTGACAAACAATCCCGACCATTCAGCTCGTTTTGACCTCAATTCAAATAAGTATTTTTTGCCTTTAATAATGTTTTCATGTGTCGCATTAAGTGCTAATTAAATTTTAATTTAAGTCCTCGGCCATAAAACAAATCCATATTGACAATCAATAAGCATGAAAGCTAAAAAAAAATAGCCAAAAGCGTTTCCACTCGGGCAAGTTTTGTGTGAATAACGATTATCCTGGATGTGTGTGTTTGGGCAATCAATTTAGGGTCATCATCAGTCATTCACGTGGATGAATCGGTGACCTGGGCCTAGGAATTGATGTTTTGGGAGACTCGTAGATAATCAAATTGTTCATCTCGTAAAATGCATTTCTATGGATTTATTGTTTTATGGTCAGTACTCGTTGACTCGTTTGCATTTAGATTAATGTACAGAAAATCAATATTAATTCATTTCCATGTTCGAGTGCAATAATTGTTGTTTATTTACTTTTCAATCCTATTTGTCCGTTTGAGAGGAAATCTAATTTCGAGTCCTGCACGCCTACCCCCCACATCCTCGACCTCGTCCACCTGGTCGAATTATACACATATCAGTCTGTCTGAATCATCGAACCACTCACGCATACACACCAGCCCCATTACCATTATCATCATTTGTTGGCATTGTTCTTATACCTGCTATTGCTGTTGTTCGTGGTCGTTGTTTGCCATTGCTGTTTATTTGTTTTGTTTGGAACTACTTATTGGGTCAACCCAAATATATTTGCCTACCCCACCCCTCAACCTCCCCCGAAAATACCCCGTTGACACCCCGAAAACACGCCCAAAAACCATCTACATCTATGTAACTGTATCTGAACAACCCGGAATCCAGTCGACAAGCGAAATGCCAACTTATCGGAGCCGGATCGGGACCCGCCTCCGAATCTGAATCTGAATGTGAATCTAAATCCGAGCTCATCGGTGGCCCTGGGACCCCCGCAGTCCCCGCACTCCCCCACAGCCGCCGCATCGGCGGCCTTGCTCCTGCTCGAGTCCTGCGATGGCAATCGCAACGACGAGTCAAGGTTCAGCCTGCATTCCGCTCACCGCCCAGGTAAGTCGATCAATCTATTTTCCCTCCTCTTTTCGCTTTCATCTCAATTTCCGCTCTGTATTTTTAATTGAAGCAGCAGCAATCACAATTAAACCGCATCCCCCAACCCAACATTCTCCCCATCATAAAGTAGTTGCACTTGATCCCCATTCATCCGCTTAGTGCCTGCCGATTCATTGCACTGGCCTGGTTAAGTTATAATTGCACTGGATTTAGTTTGCCTGCAAAACTTTGAATGTGTTTTCTGTTTTCAGTTTCCTGTTTTCAGTTTTCAGTTCTCATTTTGCATACTAAATGCCAGTACTCTAGCACCAGATGGTGTGCTCTATAGGGATTGCTTGGCTTTCGTTTCTTCGGTTCCTTTTTGTTCCTTTGCAAAAGAAACTTGCCGGGAAAGTGTGTAGAAAAATGCTCGGGAATCGGAAAATGATAGTGGGTGGCTAGAGGACGATATTAATGCTAATTATGAGTAGAATATTGATGGGCAGGCATGCAAGCCAGCAGTTGCCATAGAAATGCTAAAGGACCTGGTACTTTAAAACCTTTATTTCAACTGGGTCATGCTAAAAGAATTAAGGGTTTTCCAGATTGAACTTTTCACGATCTTTAAATTTTAAGCACTCTTAAAACTGTCCTGGTTTTGAAGGACATCAAATAAAAAACTTATTATTTTATAAATTTGTTCACTGTTCCGTTTTTCTATTAAATTATTTAAAATTAGAAATAGCTTTGGCATCGAACAATTTTCCTTTAAATGATCAATTATAATAATTATTGAAATACTTTTAAAATTTTTTCACAAACAAAAACAAATCTTGTGTATGATAAATTGATAAAGTACTTAAACAGCAAACTTTAACCTTTAACGTTCGAAACATATTTAAATGTTTTGAAAAGCACAAATTGTTGGGAGTGCAATAGATATCAATAAAAGTATTCATTATATTTAAAAGTTGTAAGTACGTTGGGCTTATTTGGGAAGACAGCGATAATTTCTTTAGTTCATACTTTTGAAAACCTTTTGAAGTAATTTAAAACCCAAATGATTTCTTTAGCTACCACCTATAAGTACAAGTTTTTATGCAAGAAAAGCTTTGCAATTTTTCTGGGTGCTTATAGAAAACTTAAGCTAGTGCTCCTGGCTTGCACTCCTGCTACGATCACCGCTTGCTTGCAGCTTGGTAGCTGTAGCTGAGAGCTCCTGACCAAGTGCTTAGGTATTTGGACCGACTAACAAACCCCTTACTTGCAGAAGCTGCCATGAAGCTACGCGAGGAGAACGAACGACTCAATGCCGAACTAATGCGGCTGAGGCGACTCCTCGAGCTGTCCACGGACGGAGCTGTGGGTGGAGTGGTGGACACCACTGCCGAAATGGAGGCAGTCCCATCCGCCGAAGGATCGGCTGCCAGGGAGCGCATCGAGCGTCTGGAATCAGAGCTCAGGTCGGTGAAGAACCAGCTGCTGACCATGCGGCTGGAGCGCAAGAAACTGCGCACGGACAAGTCCGATCTGCTGGGCCAGGTGAAACAGCTGTGCGCCTCGCTGCAGGAGAAGGAGCAGGAGCTGCGCGACTTCATCCGGAACTATCAGGAGCGGGTCAGGGAAACGGAGACAACGAATGCCAAGATCTCCGGCGATCGGGATCGTGAGCGTTTTCAGCTGCTCAAGCAGGCCCGCGACGAAGCGGAGCGTTCGCTGGCCCTCGCCCAGCAGCTCTCGGCCAGGGATCTGCAACTCCAGAGGCTGCAGGAGCAGCTGCAGGAGGCCCGCCGCCAGTTGACCGGGTGCCTCTCCGATCAGGATAGCCTTCACTCCTTTGCCCCGCTAACTCCTCCGTCGGCCGCCTCCGGAATGCTCAGCCAGATGGCTGCCGCCTCGGGAATGGGCGGTGGATTGGCCGCAATGCGGGGCACCACCGAGGACAGTGGGCGTGGCAACTCGCTGTCCGCCTTTAGCGGCAGCTTAAGCGGCGGATCGGGAGCCACAGCCGGTGATCGCAACTCCTGCTCGAACGACTCGGGCCTGAGGAACAGCAGCGATCGGGAGAGCACCGGCGGAGAACTGAACTTCAGCGATGGCACCTGCGACAACGGACCCTGCATCACCGTCGATCCAGATAGTATCTCGCTCGTTTCCAGCCAGAACATGTATCAATGTGAGTGATGAAATTGCCATCCAACCAAATCCACTGTAACCATATGTCTATTTCAGTTGGCACACCCAAGGAACGCAGTCCCACATTGTCACCTCTTAATTCGGCTGCCTACTCAAGGTATTATTGCAAAATAATAGTATTATTATGCGTATAGTATTATTATCCCACAAATAACACCAAAAAAAATTGAAAACTCTTAAAATTTAAGAAACGATTTAACCTTAAGTCTGTTTAACTTACATTGCGAGTGCCCGAAATCAATATAGATTTTTGGAACAGATTTTACAACTCTCTTATCTTTTGCACTTTAAAGCAAATTATTATGTCCTTAAAGAAATGCTAATTTTAATTTTTAATCAATTAAGCCTGTAAATGACGACTTAAATAAAATTGTATTTGTGTTTTTCGTGTATCTAGTTATAAATAATTGTTTACTTTTCAATCAACCAAAGCAGACATTACCTGTTTTATCAAAATATATTTTACATACTGTGATTAATTTAATCTCCAGCTTTGAACGGCTGCATTTAATTACATTGTGAAGGCAATTACGGAAACTAAATTTATGATTAACAAGAAAGAAAGCAAACTTCGGCAAGCCGAAGTTCATATACCCTTGCAGCTATCGCAAGAATTAAATATTTTTGAAAACATTAAAATTATGATTTACTTGCGTATTTAAACCATAATTCTGAAATATTTAACCATTGCTATATGTCGAAGAACTAAAAAAAAATTAAAAAACAGCAAAGTTATAATTTTTTTCAATTATTTTTCCGATTGTTCCTATGGGAGCTATGCTATAGTCGTCCGATTTTGATGAAATTTTAACCATAATTCTGAAATATTTAACCATTGCTTTATGTCGAAGAACAAAACAAAAAATTAAAAAACAGCAAAGTTATAATTTTTTTCAATTATTTTTCCGATTGTTCCTATGGGAGCTATATGCTATAGTCGTCCGATTTTGATGAAATTTAAACCATAATTCTGAAATATTTAACCATTGCTATATGTCGAAGAACTAAACAAAAAATTAAAAAACAGCAAAGTTATAATTTTTTTTCAATTATTTTTCCGATTGTTCCTATGGGAGCTATATGCTATAGTCGTCCGATCCGGCTCGTTCCGACTTATATACTACCTGCAATAGAAAGACAACTTTTGGGAAAGTTTCATGCAGATAGCTTTAAAACTGAGAGACTAGTTTGCATATAAACGGACGGACAGACGGACAGACGGACAGACGGACAGACGGACGGACAGACGGACAGACGGACGGACAGACGGACATGGCTAGATCGACTCTACTAGTGATGCTGATCAAGAATATATATACTTTATAGGGTCGGAAACGTCTCCTTCACTGCGTTGCAAACTTCTGACTGAAATTATAATACCCTCTGCAAGGGTATAATGACAGATTAAATTACATGACACGCTTGTTATACATTTTGCTCAGACATTTAAATGCATTTTTGGATTTTCTATAAGTAATTAAATATATTAAACAACATTTTTTTTCTAAAAATTAGAGATTAGTTTACATTGAAAACAATTGCCAACTAAAACGTGCAATTTTTTCCCAACCAACAGGTCAGTGGAGCAATTGGGCTCCCCTGTGGACCCCGAAGGACCAGGTGGCGGAGCCATCAGTAGGAAATTCGCCAGCGCCAACAAGAGCGGACCACTTGGGGCTCGAAATGGACGCGGCGGTACTTGGGGAAGCATATCCCGGGTGTTTGCCCGCTCTCGGAATAAAAGCAAGGCCCTGTCCGCAGATGGAGTGACTGAATGTAAGTGCAGAAACTTGAAAATTTGTATTTGTATACCAGTACCAGTAAAAACAAATTCCACAAATTAGAAGTTTTTAATAAATTATAGTCAAACAAAATTAAAGACGTCATTGCCAACATTAACATATGCCTTCATTTCACAATAGATGACGCCTTTGACTTAAAATATAGGTATATAATCACACCAGACTAAAATGTTCCTCTTGTTTATTTCTTGAATAAAATAAAATGAAATTATTATTTCCACATAATCGATTGATTCCATCCAGTTTAATGTTATTGTCTGAGCTGTTACATTTAAAAACATTTCGTTTTAAAACGTGCCATTTCTTTATTATTTTACGAGACATAAACCTAGCTGGCCAATATCTTTCGATTCGACATGGCCGATTATAAAGATTAAAAGTACAAAAAGTGGCATACATTTTAAATTTTGATGTGAATAAAGTTCTTTTTATATTTAGTTAAAGGTAAGTTTTAAATCAAGAAACCCATTTTTAGCTTGGAATAAAAACGATAAATCGAACATTAGAGTTCAATCTTCTTGTTCATTTTATTCATGAATTAAATAGAGTAAACTATTAAAAAGCTTAAAAAAATATAACTTTGTTCTGCAGATGCCGACTACTCGTGGAATCCGCTGACGGAGGAGGGCTACGCCGAGAAGCTGCGTCTGCTGCGGGAGGCCTCCCAGCTGCCCATCGACCGTTGGCGGGCCACCCAGGTGCTGGCCTGGCTGGAGGTGGCCTTGGGAATGCCCCAGTACAGCGCCAGGTGCGCCGAGAACGTGAAGAGCGGCAAGGTGCTGCTGGAGCTGAACGACGTGGAGCTGGAGGCGGGATTGGGTCTGGCCCACCCCATGCACCGCAAGAAGCTGCGGCTGGCCATCGAGGAGCAGCGGCGCCCGGAGATGGTCCGCTACCCACTCATCACGCAGCTGGGCCACACCTGGGTGGCCACCGAGTGGCTGCCGGACATCGGACTTCCGCAGTACGCGGAGCCCTTCGTGCAGTCCCTCGTCGACGCTCGAATGCTTGACACGCTCTCCAAGAAGGAGCTCGAGAAGTTCCTGGGCGTGACGCGGAAGTTCCACCAGGCTAGCATTGTTCACGGTATGCAATAAGACCTAGACTTCGAAGGGATATTAAGTTTCTTAAAAGTTTTATTTAATAATTAGCCCTTGACTTTTCGGCACCTTTATTTATAAAAAGAAGTTTTTTTATTTTAACAACTTTTTGGAACACAACGACTATACAGATACATAGCCAAATTGATTAGCTTTCATACCAGAATCGCCAAACCAAAAGTTTCATTACCAGCTCAGATTTAAAACAAAATAATTGGGAAGTAAATATATCTTGAACATTTTTTCTTATGCCACAGAAACCACATGGGTTTTGATATCACCTCAAAAGGTGTCTAAAAGTATGCAATGAAAAAATAAATAAGTCTTCCTGAATAAATAACGCGAAATTTCGGAAATGCTCAATTTTAAGACACTAGTTATTGATTTGATTAAGAAACATTTATATTTATTATTTATTAAATCCAGCTTAAGAAATATATTGTAATTATATTTGCCCCTTGTGGTAACATTTGTCACCAAATCGTAAGCGTATTAATTTCCCTCATTTTCGACAGGCATTCACGTGTTGCGCATCGTGAAGTACGACCGCCAGACGCTGGCCATGCGGCGGGTGCAATCCGAGACGGTGGACACGGACCCCATTGTGTGGACGAACCAACGCTTCATCCGCTGGGTGCGATCCATCGACCTGGGCGAGTATGCGGACAACCTGAAGGGTGAGTGTGCCATATCGATTGCCCTTTGATTATGCCATTCAGTGCAGCAATTATGGGGGCCTTCTGACCCACTCTAATCCTGAATTCACCCCCCCTTCCCCCCTTTTTCGCCCACCTGCAGATAGCGGCGTGCACGGCGGCCTTGTGGTGCTGGAGCCATCGTTTTCTGGTGACACCATGGCCACCGCCTTGGGCATTCCTCCCTCGAAGAACATAATACGGCGACATCTCAACACGGAATTCGATGCCCTCATTTTGCCCGCACGGTAAGTTCTTAGGGCTTAGCAACCCCACAAGAGCCATCTAGATATCTCAGTGTGCGCGTGTGTGTGTGCGCGTGTGTGTGTGTGTTGTGAGTGTGTCCTGTGTGCCCTGTGTGCGTGAGTGTCCTTTGTGTAATCCCTCGGGTTTGACATGCGAAATGTGAAAACATAAATATGTAGCGTAATACAGCGTTTTGATTAGAGTTGTCTTTGTTTTGATTGAGTTATTGCCGTTTTGTATTTCCATACCCTCCCCCGAGTTTATATAACTTTCCTGTTAACTGTTTTTGTTGTGAGCTTGTGTTTATTTTTGCACCTTCGTTAAGAAGTATCTTTTCCAAAGTTGTTTTCGTTTGGAATTTGCTAGCAGGAAGTATATCGTTACTGTGGGAGCTCTCCAGACTTCATTTAATCTTCTGCATTATCATCATCATCATCACCCGAAACATACACTCACCATCCATTCATACTCATCTCTGGCTATTATATTTAGTGCTTTGATCATTCGTTTATAAGCTGCTTCTTATGTGCATACCATCCATCTATCTTCTTCCGCATCCCAATCAATCAACTATGGCTCCAGAAATGCCAACTTCTCGACTCATTAGATGTCATGTCATGCGACGTCATATCTGTATCTAAATCTGTCTACTCGTGCATAAGTATGTAAAGGTCTCCAGCCTGTATCCTTAGATAATAATGTAATACGTACTTTGTTTCGTTGTTGATCATGTGAACGTGTCTTAGACGAACTGTTAAGCAAAATAAAACCGCTCCCATAAAGCGAATCGCACTAATGGCGGCCCTTGTGGCCATGTTTCTCTCTCTTTTCTTTCCCAACCAATATCTCGATCCATGTTAATTTGTATTTTCTATGCCCGTAATGCAGATACCTTATTTACTGTCAAATGGAAGAATTTCAAATGGAAGCCTCCAGACAATTGGCCAAATTGCAGGGCCACTAAATCCGCACGAACCAAAGAACAAAATAACAAAAATGAATTATCAAAAACCAAATGGGATTCATAGAGATTTGTTTAGCCAAGCTGATGAAGATGATACGATAATAACTATAGGGAGAGAACAATAACTGGAGCACAGCGCTAGTCATTTCGTAATTACGAATAGTTGATAGATCCACGGCAGAGTAGTCACACATCCGATTTGTAGACGTAGATTAAATCATACCACAATAATATTAAGTGCTTTAGGCATCGAACTAGGAACGCACACATAAAAAAAAACAAGTGTCCAAGCTTTGCATACCCGATATCGATATTAAAACGATACACTCCCCGAGGAGCGCTTAACGTTGCATTTACTTAGGTTGATTTACAAGTCAAGCATTTAATGTAGTAGAAACCTAGTGTTAAGGCTTACGTCAATGTAATCGAGGAGGGACGGCATTTCAGATATTAATTGTTAGGCCTAAGATAGGGCATTGCAAATGCCACCACACACCCCTCCACACATGAGCGTCTTTCGTCACTAGGCCGGAACACCCAAGTTCTCTGTGATACAGGAGCTGTTTTCTGAGGTCGGTCAGACAGCCACCAACGCACAATTGAACCTAAAAGACCAATTACATAGCCACACACTCGCACACAAGTCCATGAACACATACACATCTACATTTCCGTGGTTAGATGATATAGTATCTGTTTGGTGTTGCATACTGTGAAGCGTTTTGGGAGAGTGTGGCCTGCGGTATAAAGTTCTGTTCCAATAAAATTTCTACAATCGCTGTGGTGCCAAAAATTATGCAATAAATAATGTTACTTTTGTCGACATGGTTTGCTTAGTGTGAATGGCTGCATAAAATATATTGTTGCATTCTTTTGGGCATCCAAAAATATCTTTTTTATATAGCTGGAAATTTTTGAAACATTCTATTGACCGCAGGTCAGCTCTCCTGAGTTAATTTCTTTAAGAAGTCGTTAATTTGGTTTTGCAATTTCGCAACTACAGTGTCAATTGTAAGTAAAACTTGCTTACTAAGTAGCCTATTCTCTCTATTTGTCACACTCATACACTCGAAAACAAGTTCTATGTATGTGTTATCAATGTTTTTAAGTAGCTTGAACTAGACATAACCGTTGTCATCTTAATAAGTACCACTGCATAACAAAATACCTTATCGATACTATGTGTGATTGGAATTCTAAGGCTTAAAAGCGACAAATTATATGGCTGATTTCGTGTCTGTTAGCAACGCTATTCATTTCTTTCGAGTTACTTTTCCTTTCCATTCTCTTTTTTCGGGGGCTTTCTCTCACCATAGACTCTTTATTTCTTTGTTGTCTTACGCTACGTGTAGTTAATTGTGCTATAGCGAAATACAAAACAGATAAAAGTAACTCTCCAACATTGATTAACCAGATTCTTTCGTCTTTGTCCCGTTTCTTTTTCCATCTTTCCTATATTTGATCCACTCTCTTTTGCTTTCACATCCGTATGTTTCCTCTTCAATTTCGTAATTTGGTAATCGAATCGACGGCTTGTTGTTGTTGCTAACTCTGCTTGATTGTCTAACACGATTACCAACACAACGATAACAATACCGACAACAACTCAATATAACAACTCAACAACAACAACTCAATAACAACAACAACAACTCAACAATAACACCTATGAAACCACTTTCTGTGTGTGTATGTGTGCCTGCCTTGCCTGCTCTCTCTCTCTCTGTCTCTGTCTCTATATCGCTATCTCTGCTGCTCTGCCTGACCGCCCGCACTCTCCAACTCACCAAACTCCAATCTCCAACTCTCCACATTCCCGTTATCTGCCGTCTGTGTCCTGTCTTCAATGTGCTGCCTGCCTGCCTGCCTGCCTACGAATACCGAATATACATGCACCAACCCATCTACAACATGTTATATGCCCCCATTACCACCCACTCACAACCAACAAAAAAACACACACACACGCACACGCATACGACCTATGCAAAAATTCGCAAATCGAAATTGCCATGTTTGTTGTGTAGAGCGACTCTGGGTCAGGGCATCCGTTCCGGTTGCGGCGTAGTGCCTCTAACGGGACCCGGCGGACTGCAGCACTATGCCACAACAGATCGCCGCTCGAGCGGCAACCTCAGGGTAAGTAATTATGACTACCTATGTATATCTCATAGCCAGCTATGGTCAAATATGTCTTGATTATGATAATCCACTAGCCAATAACACTACTGTATCCTTAGCCTGAATTGTCGTGAAGCTTTTGGTGTCTCTCGGTGTCTATGTCATAAATTATTCAAGTCTCTGAAAGCTGTCACCAGTATTTTCATCTCAACTTTGACAGGCTTTCATTGGAATTGAAAACTCAATTTACAATGGTCGCCTTTGAAATCTCAAATGGCCATAATTCACGTTTTGAGGTGCAGTTATTGAATAATATATTATTTACTCTAAACGATGATGAAAAATGTTGGTGAAAGATGACCTAAAATATTTTACAGCATACTTTTAGACGCTTTTAAAATGGTGTTTTAGCAGCGGTTGCCACAAAATACATATATTGGGTCAAAGACTATTTTAAAGGTATCTACAAATATGCATTAATACATCTAATTTTGGATTAATTTAAATCGTAGCATACTATAAATGCAATTTCTTGCTTTTGAAAACGTAAAATTTATTAAAATATGTTGGAAAAAACTCTTGTCAGGACTGTATAAAATTTAATAATAATAAATGCCAGCTAATTTCTTATCGTAAGCATGAAATACACTTCTAACACTTAAAGCAAAAACATTTTATAGAAATCACACATTTTTACCCACCTGGAATTTGTTCCCATCAATTTAGGCATCTAGCAACAGCATTAGCTTTACGACAGTTCCGAAAGATTTACATTGCTCAGCGCAATTTTAGGAGACACAATTAGTAAGCAAATTAAAACCATTCAAATTTTGTTCTTTTCGTTTTGTGTACTGGACAGATTTCGGCATGGAAAGGATCTCAGGTGAGCTGCTGGCACTTCATAACCGTAGGATGTCCTTCTATAACCCCGGTTTTTGTTTCTCCTTGCAGAGCTCCCTTTCTAAAGCCTTTCGGTTTAACAGCAAACCCCATCGCACCGGCGACCGCAGCTCCTTCGGGAACTCCACCTCCCCAACGCCTTCGTACAGCAGCAGCGAGGGTGGCGGAGGAATATACGCAACCATAGGCCACCAGTACCCGAATCCTCACACGAATCCCCAGCAGCAGCACTACCACCACTTCCTGCCGCCGCCGACGACGGCTCCGCCGCCGATTCCCTCGGCGGGGGGCATCTACAGTCACGGTCCGCCGCCGGGGCACCGAGTGAGCGCCCCGCCCGTCGGGGCCATCCTGGATGGCGGCCTGACCGACCCCCAGATGCTCTACGAGCAGAGTCAGCGGCGGCGCGTGAAGAGCATCAGCGACATTGGGGCATCGACGAGTGCGGGCAGCGTGGGGGCCTGTAGCCTGGGCGGGATTTCGGCCTCCTCGGAGTCGCCCGAATAGAATTGAGAGAGTAAAGTGCTAGCTAGATAGGATGATAACTACCACTACCACTACCACTACCAAAGATACTCAGCTGTTGTCCTGCATGAAAATCCCATCTTCCCACAAAAAACCAATCAACCAAACCAACTAACCTTCCCAGCTGCATTTGAGCTTAGACTCTACGAGCGAACTCAATTATATTCAAGTCAGTGTCAGACCCACCTAAAAGATACAAGCATTCCGCAGATACAGATACATATGCGATACATAAGTCAAGTAATACAGAGAAGCGAGTAATCATTTGATCAAATCAGATAGAACTACGAACTATATGCTAAACGTAATTAACAACATAAATATATTGTGTAGACTAGGCTCTATCCGCAGGCAAAGAAGAACGAATCAAACACTCCACCCTAAACACGAGTCAACTGGAATAGTTTAATCAATCGCGTATATGTAATTCTAATTGTAATTGTAACTGTAAAGATAGCTCTTAACCGATTTAATAGAGAGAGGCGATTGGTGAAGGCACTAAACTCACAGATTTGTAAGCCGATGCGCAGACACCGGAGATGCAATTTAGATAAATTGAAATTATTTTGTAACCGAAACTATCGTAGCTAAGCAAATGGAAACGGAAACGGAAACTATTGAATTAAATTTGATAAGCAGCCGCGCAAGGCGGAACTTTGTAAATTACGGTAAGCCCTAAGCAACGTTCAATATCGCATGGTAATGGTAAAAAGAAAAAACGCAGAAAAACGCAGAAAAACAGTAACATAATATATGGTAATTGCAAACGCACTCCCCCAAAAAAACCCTCGCACAACCAAAGAAAGTCAGTCAGCCCGCTTTGTCCGCCAATCTATCAGTATCGAAGAATCCCCGAATGCGTCAGGGTATCATTAAGCTGACCAATTTAACTCTAGACCTATGACGAAGAAACTATCGAATAAACCAATGATCAAAACTCTGTTGTAAACGCAAGCGTCTTTATTGTGTGGCCCGGGAGATCCATACCCGCTAGATGAGCAGGACCTCAACATATTGCATTTGCTCGACTCCAAAACATTTCACCTTCACCGAGAGCCGATGTGCCTCCTGTGTCCTCTGTGGTTCGGTGCATCTTCGCCTGGACTTGTCTCCCAAATCCATGGATTGCTAGCGTCGATCGCTGTCGTTGTCGTTCCGCGGACGTCGGGTGGTATGAGGACGACCCTTGGGCTCCGGATTGGGTTCCGCCATGGTCAGGGTGCCCAGGCTGCCGATGAGGCCGAGGATTCCAAAGACCAGGAACAAACTAAGCCACTTCATCTTGCGACGTCGAGTAATCACCAGTTGGATGCAAACTGCTGACCCATCGGCCGAGAATCGAACGTTTTATGGTCTGGCGCCCAGCGGATCGGCGACAATCTGCATGCTAATGAGGGGAATAGCCGTCAACATCGTTTACCATTGCCAGTTGTTTATGTTCGCAGATCGGGCCCGATACCGCGCCAAATTGAGTTGTAAATCTAGCGCGAAAAATGGGCGGACATGCATTTAGGTAATTAGCTCCAACGAACAATTGTTCCCATTACAATTCAATCGCAGTCACATCTTACTGTGTGAAATGAAATTCACAAAAAAAATGATTACTTTATACGTACATGGCAAATTTATTTTAATCGTTTTGGGTAAGTATTTGACAAATTTCGAACTTTTCCCTTTGCGCTCTTGTATACCTTATGTGCTCGTAGGCTAACAAATTCATTTACGATATCGAAGGCAAGACATTTGCCAATTTAGGATCTAGGACAATCATGTGTTTGGTACAAATTGATTACTTGGTAAAGTGACAAAACAAAGCGATGTTTCACGAAAGCAAACATTTGAAAACACGGACATGGTGACTTCATAAACTACGCATGAACAGAAGTATACAAAAACCGTTTCGGGCTGGTAGGTATAATGTAAAAAGTGCGAGCACTTGTCAAAAATGCTCCATCGAAGGTATGGCTGGTATGGCTTATATATATATATGTACAAATATCACAATGAGCTGGCTCTGGGTGGTCGTTGCACTAGAATCTCCATTGATCTGCGTAGGCCGGCGGACTCAGGGTCAAGTTTTGCTGGAAAAGTTGGCCGAGCTCGTTCATCTCCCGCTCCCTTCGCATCTCCTCGCCCACCTGCTGCCACAAGGACTCGAATCCACTGTCGTGGACAGCCATCGAGACGTCGCCCTCGCAGGAGCTGTCGTCAAAAACAAAGGAGTACTCCCTCTGGTAGTCGCACATTTTCGGGTTTTATTTCGCAAAGCTGCAAGAAAATGAAATTTAAATAGTTAGTTATCGATTAAAAAGTCTCATCGTTAGGCGCCCATCTATCGATTTGTATTCTTATCAGAATAAAAGTCCAATCAGCTGGTTTCATTTGTATACAGAATGTCGCGCAAGAATGTCTTGAGTTTGATCAACACGATCGTGGCCAATTCGTAAGCTTTGAACTTGATTTAAGGTTTTCAAATAATAACAGAAACGTTTTTAATTTTGTGTAGCTGCAAGTGCCCCGCCCACTCGCACAATTATGGGTCAGCGGCTCCATCCGCCTCCCAAACGGGTCGCATGGAATACGCCTTCGAGGTAAGTGGCTAAAACTTGGACTTTGGAACATCTGCAGATAGCAGATTATCAGCTCCAGACAGACAGCCAAAGTCTGGATGAGATAATAATCTTGGAATTTAGATCTTCTACTCCAGTCCTAAACGGAATCCAAAAATAGTTGGCAAACCTAAAATGTTTTTTATAGAAGACATTTTCTTGTAGAAGACTGAATAAACGATACAAAATTAAACGTTTACAATGAACTTTGTATCCCCAAAAACCCTATGTTACATGGACTATCAACATTTGAAGTAAAAAGCTATTATTTCTAAACGGAAGATAATCGCGAATGATCATCATAAAAAGGTTGGCAAAAGTTTCTTATTTATTTATGTACAAAAATAAATGTAAACTTTAAACTTTAGATCGCCAAATACCTTATAAGTCAGATGATTGTCTGCAGTTAAAGTCTGAAACTGATACTTGGAAGGATTATTTGAACGAATTTGAAAGGATTAATTTAACGAATTTTCAAAGAACTTTTCTATCTAGAAATATTTATTTGCTTACATATTTCACACTTACTCTCTCTGAATAAAATAATAAATTTATTCTTTATAATCCCAATAATTATATACTGTTATATTTCTCAGATGTCCGCCTCAACAGTGCGTTTTGGACCCGGTGTGAGTGGCGAAGTGGGAGCCGATCTTCGCAACTTGGGTGCCCAGAGGGTTTGTTTGGTCACGGACAAGAATGTGTCCCAGTTGCCATCGGTGAAAGTGGCCTTGGATTCACTGGCCCGCCATGGAATCAACTACGAGGTCTACGATGAAACCCGGGTGGAACCCACCGATGGCAGCATGTGGCATGCCGCGGAGTTTGCCCGTGGCAAGGAGTTCGATGCCTTTCTGGCCATTGGCGGAGGATCAGCCATGGACACGGCCAAGGCAGCCAATCTGTTTAGCAGTGATCGGGAGGCTGAGTTTTTGGACTACGTCAACTGTCCGATTGGCAAGGGCAAGGAGGTAAAGTCGACTTGTTTAAATTGGTTGTATGTATAGGAAGGAGTACTATTTTGTTAACTGCTTTTAGATATCTGTTAAGCTGAAGCCTCTGATTGCCATGCCCACCACCTCGGGAACCGGATCTGAAACTACTGGAGTAGCCATATTTGACTATAAGAAATTGCACGCCAAAACTGGGATATCCAGCAAATACCTGAAGCCTACTTTGGGTAAGAACTTTACCATTTTACATTTGCTTGAAATTTTAGCTACACAATATAGTCAAAAACATTCTTCTGAATATAATTGGAATTTCAAATCGGAACACAAAATATATAGTTCCCCAGCTAATTGTCGACTTTGTAATCTCAGCTCTGATTGATCCCCTGCACACCCTGTCGCAGCCGGAACGTGTGATGGCCTTCGCTGGCTTTGATGTGTTCTGCCATGCCCTGGAGAGCTTTACGGCGGTGGACTACAGGGAACGGGGTCCGGCCCCCAGTGATCCCAGCCTGCGGCCCACGTACCAGGGCAGGAATCCCGTGTCGGATGTGTGGGCTCGCTTCGCCCTGGAGGCGATACGCAAGAACTTTGTGAATGCCATTTATCAGCCCGATAACTTGGAGGCCCGCTCCCAGATGCACTTAGCATCGACGATGGCGGGCGTGGGCTTCGGCAATGCCGGAGTGCATCTGTGCCATGGACTCTCGTACCCGATCTCGGGCAATGTGAGGGACTACAGGCCGCAGGGTTATCCTGCGGACCACGCCCTCATTCCCCACGGCCTGTCCGTGGTGATCAGTGCCCCGGCTGTGTTCGAGTTCACGGCGCCCGCTTGCCCGGATCGCCACTTGGAGGCTGCCCAGTTGCTGGGAGCAGAGGTGCACGGTGTTCGGAACTCGGACGCCGGTCGACTTTTGGCGGACACTGTACGCGGTTTTATGCAGCGCGCTGGCATCGAAAATGGCCTCCGTGAGCTGGGCTTCTCCAGCAGCGATGTGCCCGCCTTGGTCGCGGGAACCCTGCCCCAGGAGCGGATCACTAAGCTGGCACCGAGGGCACAGACTGAGGAAAATCTGTCGCAAATCTTCGAGAACTCCATGCGGGTATATTAATTTAAGAGCTTAACTTACCCACGCTCAACTTGTTCGCTTCAAGAAAAAGTGTGTTAAACTAACGGATCCGTTGCCATAAACTGACCATACTTAAGCTTTTAAAACTCCAGTTTCACGCACATACAAACTAAGTTTAGAGTGGACCAGTCATGTCCACATGTATATGAATACATGTATGTGTATGAAGAGTACTATTAAAAATTTTGTACAAAATCTCTGGCAATGTGATTCCTTTCTGTTTATGTTCTTTGACGCAATTGACTTTATGTCTAGTCAGCATTATGTTGGGGCCTCTCTTTTGGTTTTTTCTTCGGTTGGGGGTCCTCTCTACTTCAAAAGTTTCAGTTTACGTTTTAACGCTGGAGCTCCAAGTTCAACGCTGTAGCTTTGAATACTTTTACATAAGAATAAGTTTAAAAAAGTTTAATTTTATAGCCGTAAATCTCTTATCCATCGAGGTTCACGGTATGCAAATCGATTTGAAGACATATTGCCCATATGTAACTGTAAAAGTATTGCAGTTATTGGATATGCGCATTACCAAACATGAGTACTCCTTCATGTTCGCTTACTCCGACTGTGCGATGCCCTACGACAGGGAGTTCGAGCTAATGTGGCAGCAGATCGGCGAGGAACTGCGATCCCGACACAATCGATTCCTGGGCATGCCCTTCGATAGTGGATTTGAACGGATGTGGCGCCAAATCGGAGAGGAACTGAAGCGGGATCAGGAGGTAAACGACTTGGCAGTCGGCTTTCGGCGGAAGTTAACCCTCTACGCAAAGGAGGAAGCGATGGTCGACCCACTTGAGTCTTTTATTGAACGCAGATAAAATATATTCAATTTTATTGAACGGCATGTTAGTGTTAAAAGTACGTGGTATGTATGTCTATTAAGTATGCATTGTAAAGATTACCATCGGTTTTGGTTAAAATAATTTATTGTTTTTCGGAATTGGTTTCAAAGTCGAATAGATCAAGCGAATGCTCGATTTCGATTGGAAAAAAAGATAATAAAAAAGACTTAACATAGTTTATGCATTAATTATTTCTCTCATCTCGTGATCAGTTACAAAAATCAGACGTCATTCTAGGGGGTGTCTTCCTCCTCCGTACCGTTTGCTACACAGACCCGGTTCTAAAACCCTAGCCACTCGTTTCTCGTCCCTGACTGACACTCAGTTTTCCGAAACACTAATGTTTCGTTAATAATTTTCGCTCGGTTTGAATTTTGGCAAAATGGCACTAAATCTTCAAGTTGTTCCCAAAAATTCTCATAAGTACGGATGCATGGGATGGGGGCTATGGGGCAGTGGTTCGATCAGGGGTAAAGCGTTTTCTGAACCCACCTCTGCTGTTGGCCAGCACCATCTTTCGACTGACTGCAACAGGACTAGGCGGAATGGGGCTATTTCGGGGACAAAGGATTACGATTTTTTTTCTCTCTCTCTCTATCTTATTTGGATTCAAGTATTTCTCAGTTGTTGCTTTGTTTGCTCGCACTTTCGCTAATACTTTTAACTGCCAGCTACTGCTCCGCGACGAGTGCCTCCTCCTGTTTCTTTTCATTATTCATTCAACTGCTCCTGCTTGTGCTTATGCTTGTGTGTAGTCAATTGTCTGATGCGATTTCCACTTGTTCAACTATCAATAAACTTATAAATTAGAAAAACAGCGCAACTCGTTCGACTTCCGCGAAGTCCGGCCCGGAACTGCTCTGGTTCTGGGGCGGACTTAGACCTGGTTGATGGGCGCATACCGGTGCACCTTGGGCTGCTTCAAATGCTTGGGCTCCTTGCTGGTGCTGGTGGTTGGCTTCACGATGTCCTCGCTGAGCTTCTGGTAGACGAACGAGTTCTTGGAGGCCAGCAGGGCCATGCGATAGCGCTCGCCGCGCTTGCGCAGCACCACGTAGATCACCCGGGCGATGGACACCACGATCATCAGCAGGCAGAAGGACACGATGATCAGGGGCACGGCCAGGTCGTAGGACAGTTGGCCGTGGAAGATCATCTTCTCGTTGTACTCATCCGATTCCTCGCTCTCGCTGTCAAAGCCAAGTTTACCTGCAAAGGAATGGGTTGGATTGGTATTAGTCTTTTCATTATCCAAGCCAAGGGTGCACTTTTTTAAACAAACTCATTTCTGATATAATAAAATATAAATAAAATATTTTAAATTCATTTTTGAACCCATTGTTTAAACTCATTTTTTGAAACTTATTTCGGTATATATTTACTGAAACTCATTTCTGAAACTGACTTCTGAAATTGACTTCGTAACTCAAAATTGAAACTTGTTTTTGAAACTCATTTCTGAAACTCGATTCTGGATCTCATTTCTGAAAATCATAGCTTAAACTCATTTAGGAAACTCGTTTCTTTAACTCATTTCTAAAACTCGTTTCTGAAACTCTTTTCAAAAACTTAATGCTCAAACTCAATACAGCAACTTATAGTTGAAACTGATTTTTGAAATGTCGTTTCTGGATCTCGTTTCTGAAAGTCAATTTTAAACCCATTTCTAAAACGACTTCCGACCCTATAAAGTATATATATATATTCCTGATCAGTATCTAGCCATGTCCATCTGTTCCTACGCAAACTAGTCCCTCAGTTTTAATGCTTTTTGGATGAGAATTTTCCAAAAAGACTTCCTTCTGTTGCAGGTAGTTTAAAAGTCGAAACGGATGGGATCACACTATTATGTTTTGCTTTTTCAGAATTGAGTTTTTAGTTTTAAAATCGTACTACGGTTTCATAGAAACGATCGAAATATTCGTCGGAAAATCGACATAGTTTCTTTTTCTTGATGAAACCCATTTGTGAAACTAGGTTCTTCTATGAGGCACAACTCACCCAAGAGGAACTCGTCGCGCGTCTCCTGGGACAAGTCCACTTCCTCCGCCTTAACGCCCTCCTCCTTCAGCACGGGCTTCAGCTCCTTGTTCACAAACGTGTCGAAGGCCTTGTCGGACTGGGACTCGCCCTTGGCCTTGCCCTTCTTGCGCTCCTCCTCGAAGCGCTCGTCATCGTCGTCGTCCTCCTCGTCGTCATCCTCGTCGTCGTCCTCGTCGCTGTCGTAGTCGCTGCTGTCCTCGTCCTTGTCCTCGCCACCGTGATTGAGGTTCTCCTCGGAACTGTCCTCCGCCGGCTTGTGGGCTTCGGTGTTGGCCGCAAGCGATCCCTTCATGATCTTCTGCATGCTGCTGAGGCGACTCTTGTCCAGCACACTCTTGTCCAGGACACTGAGCAACTTGGCCTCGTCCTCGTCCAGTTTCTTCTCGCTCTCCTTCAGTCGCTTCTCCAGCTTGGCCTCGGCGCTGTCGGCCTTCTTCTCGTCCAGCAGATCGGATCCCTCGGCGTGCTTGCACACCTCGTGGGCCAGATTGGCCCATCCAGCCTGCGCCTGGTTCTCCAACTCCACAATGGTGGCATCGTCCTCCAGGTTGGCCAACACCGGCAGCCGCTTGGGCGTCATCTGCATCTGCAGGGTGACATAGCTGATGAAGTCCTGGAAGTCGCGCGTGCACTTCAGCGGATTGTTGGTGATGTCCAGGGAGCGCAGGTTCTTGAATCCCCTCACGTCCTCCGAGGAGATCTTCTTGATCAGATTGCCGGAGGCATTGAAGCTGCGCAGACTGTCAAAGACCTTGTAGCCCTGGCCCACCTGGCGGTCGGAGATCAGGGCGGTCAGCTCACAATCGTTGACGTCCAGGGAGCGCAGCTGGTGCAGCGGCTGGAAGAGACGCACGGACAGGCGGCTAATGGGGTTGCCGGCCAGACTGAGCTTGGTCAGCTCGCCGTTATCCTCGAAGATCTGGTCGTCCATGCGTGGAATCAAGTTGTTGCTCAGATCCAGATCGATCAGTTTGCCCAGTCCGGCGAAGACCTCGCGCGGCAGGTGGTTGATGTTGTTCCAGGCCAGCTTCAAAGTGGTCAGATGTGGCATCGTGGCGAAAGCCTTGTGGCCCAGCGGTCCGATGGCACAGTTCGAGATGTCCAGGTAGTAGACTGTGAACTCGCCGCTGTAGCTCAGGAAGCCGTCGGTGGGCAGCTGGCTCAGGCGGGGATTATCATTCAGCCGGATCACATCGAGCTCGGAGTTCTTGAAGAACAGCATGCCCGAGATCTGGTCCAGCTCATTGATGGACAGATCGATGTGGCGCAGGCTCTTCAGCGTGAGGAACGAGTCCGGCTGGATCTTCTTGATGCCATTGCCCTTGAGGTTCAGGCTGGTCAGGCCGGGCATCTTGTCGAACATGCTGTGGTGCACCTGGACGATCGCATTGAAGCTCAGGTCCAGCTGCTGCAGATCCCTGGTGCCGAAGTGCAAATCGCCGCCAAAAGTGTTGTACTTCAGGTGCAGAATGGACAGTGTGGTCCCGTTGAAGATCTCACGTGGCAGCTCTGTCAGCGAGTTGTAGGACAGGTCCAGTTCCTCCAGCAGGGTCACATTCTCGAACGCCTTCTCGGGCAGCTTCTTCAGGCTGTTCTGGCTCAGGTTGATGTACACAATGTTCGAGAGCTGCGAGAAGGCCTTGGGGTTCAGCTCCATGAGGTTGTTGCGCGAGAAGTCCAGCTCCTCAATACTGGAAGACTACAACAAAACAAGTACATTAGTCATTGCTTAGCAGAGGATTATCACAGCGAAAGACTCACCTTCAGCAGATAGTGAATGGTGGACATGATGCTCAGGTCATTGCCCGAGATGGTCAGCATGCGCAGCTTCTTGTTGCCCACAAAGGTGTCCGGATTGATGATGGCCAGGCCCACATCCGTCAGGTTAACTGCGTACAGCTCGTTCAGACCGTGGAAGGCCTTCTCGTCCAGGTACTCCAGGGTGCAGTTGGCGATCTTGATCGAGGCCACGTTCTTGAGGCCCAGGTTCTGGAAGAAGTTGGGGCCCATCAGGATGGGGTACTTGGGACCCACATTGGTCACCACCAAGTCCGTGATGTCCGAGCCGAACTTCTGGATGCCCATGTCCAGTCTGCAAGGTATTTCAAGGGTTAGTCATGGTCTTAGAGTCAGAGTTAGAGGAGTTTCTGGTGGACAAACCTGCTGCAGGTGGCCACCAAATAGCTGTTCACATTCCGGGCACAATGGCAGAATCGCGGACAGGGCACATCCTCGCTGAACTCCACCTGCCCGTCGTCGGTCAGCAGATCGTCGGAGGCATCGTCGTCCTCCTCATCGGCATCCTCATCCATGTCCTCCTCGTAGTCGTACTGGGAGTCGCTGTCGATGTCATTGGTTTTATCCTTGGTCTTCTGCTCGCTGGTCTTGGCCTGAATAGGATTGTATTAAATATTGTAAGAATAAATCGATCTGAGGAGTACCTTTGGCTTTGAGGAGGCACGGTCCACGATGGGCTGCAGCTTGGGCTTGACCATGCCCTTCTTGGGCGTCGAGGGGGTCGTCTCCTTGTCCTCGTCGAAGTAGGAGTAGTCATCGTCGTAGGAGTAATAGTCGTAGTTCTCCTCGCCGTCGGTGGAGTTCTTTGCCTTGGGCGTGGAGGTGGAGGAGGCGGTGGCGTTGATCATCTTGTTGAAGTGCGGATCTTCGGCCAGCGCTTGGCTATGCCTGGCCGCCTCCAAGAGATCCTTGAGCGCCTCCTCGCTGAGGTTCCTTTCGGTGGTCTTGGTCTTGGTCTTCTCGGCGCTCTTGGTGGTCGTCTCCACCGGCAGTTCCTTGACCTTGGGCGTGGAGATCTTGGGCAGACTCTCGGCGGGACTTACCTCCTCGCCGGAGTTCAGCTCATTCTCCGTCAGATCATCGTGGACGTACTTGATCTTGGGGCTCACGGTGCTCGAGTGGCCGGCATGGATGAGGGCCAGGCTGAAGGCCAACAGCAGGAGCAGCCTGCAAGTCGACTGGCGACCCAT